AATCGATGAAGTTGGACTTGTTGAAACGGAAGTGGGACTGGACCAGTTGACATGGGGCGATGCTGACCTTCAACGGGAGCTTCGGCGCCTGAAGGACAACAGTTTGAAAATTCCGAACCTGAAATATATTTTCAAAATTGCCTTACTAAGAGTGATCCCCACCCTGACACACTATTCTGACATAGTTTCTGACATATCATCTGGACGTATATGTGGCACATATGTTCTGACATACTATCTTACATTCTTTTCTGAAATTCTATTTGACATTCTTTCTGGCATCCTATCTGGCATCTATTCTGACATACTTTCTGGAATATACTATATTCTGATCCTGCCTTGCCATGAGTTTGGGCTGGGAGTGCTTTTATTTGCGTGGATCAATGCCAATGGCTTGAATATCCCCCAAATGTTGGTTTCACATGTTTGCACCCAATGATTGCCATTACCATTGATACCCCAAAATGGCCAGGTCCTGAATTTGAGAGTAGGTCCTGAAAAGTTTTCTGGGTACTGAAAAAACAGGATTTTGGCACAGGGTCTGAAAAAAGACGTAGGTGGAAGATTCAGGTATGCTGTTGGGTTGCAAAGCTGGGTTAATAGTAGTAGTAGTAGTAGGTAGTGGTAGTAGTAGTAGTAGTAGTAGTCGTCGTAGTAGTAGTAGTATTGGTAGTCGTAGTAGTAGTAGCAGTAGTAGTGGTAGTAGTAGTAGAAGCAGAAGTAGTAGTAGTAGTAGTAGCAGTAGTAGTAGTAGGTAGTAGTAGTAGTAGTAGTAGGTAGTAGGTAGTAGGTAGTAGGTAGTAGGTAGTAGGTAGTAGGTAGTAGGTAGTAGGTAGTAGGTAGTAGGTAGTAGGTAGTAGGTAGTAGGTAGTAGGTAGTAGGTAGTAGTAGTAGGTAGTAGTAGTAGTAGTAGGTAGTAGGTAGTAGGTAGTAGGTAGTAGGTAGTAGGTAGTAGGTAGTAGGTAGTAGGTAGTAGGTAGTAGGTAGTAGGTAGTAGTAGTAGTAGTAGTAGTAGTAGTAGTAGAAGTACAATTGGTGACGTAGAAGTAGAAGTACAGGTACAAGTAGTTAGGGATCCTGTGCAATTGGGAGAACTTGGGTATCGCTAGGGTATCGCTAAGGCATCGCTATGGTATCGCTAAAACCGACCCGTTTTTTTTTTGCAGAATCTGTTCTTTTCCTTTCCTTTTGCTTCCCCTTTTTCTGTCCTTTTCCTTTCGTGTCCTTTTTTAGTTTTTCCCTTTCCTTGTCCTTTCTTTTCTCTTTCCTTTTCCGTTTCTTTCTCTTTCCTTTGCCTTTCTCTTTACTTTTCCTTTCCTTTCTGTTTCCTCTTCCTTTTCCTTTCCTGTTTCTTTTTCTCTTCCTGCCTTTTTCCTTTTCTTTTTCTTTTCTTTTCCTTTCCCTGTCCTTTTCTTTCAACCCTGAGCCCAAGTATATCACCGATGCGAGCACTTGACGAAATCAACACTCATGAAGTTCAACATGGGGTATCGCTATTTGGAAAGGTCCCATCGCTAAGCTCAGTTTTTTTGCATTTTATGAAAACCAATGTCCAACGAATACATATCTTAGTATTCGGGAGTTTTGACGATTGCTCATATATAATTATATATATATACACAAACGCATATACGCACAGTGTATGTAATATATATATATATATATGTCGGAACCTCCAAAGAAAAGAAACATGCTCCAACATATTCTACAACATGTATTTACTTTATTTTACTTTATGACTTCCAGGTTGTAATTGCCATTTGTAGGTTCCTAAATGGGCTTTGACCAAAACTGTTGTCCTTACTGACCCGCTGTTTTCTGATCATGTACCCTTTCAAAATTGCTGTTTCAGAAGGAATCCAAACTGGAAGAGGTTGTACAGGGTGGTCATGGTGATCACCTCCTCATATGCGTTCATGACAATTATAGCTGTCTTTGGCCGAAGTCGAAAAAAATCCAACAAGATTGTTCTGGATAGTTTGCCCAAACCAGCAAAGTATTGCAGCCCTTTTCGACTATCTGGATCCAACTTGGAGTTCCGCAATCATCGCTGGGAACGATGAAACCTCCCCAGACAAAGCCATCAAAGCCCTGGTACCCCAGTGAACATCAAAATAGTTGCTATAAATGGTACCCCTGGTACCCCAATGTACCCCATCCCCTCCAAATGAAGCATCATAGGGTTTGACCCATCTCCGAAGAACTTGGCTTGGGGGTTTGCTCAGAAAACCATGGCAAAAGGCGATGGAATCCTTTCTGGGTAATGTCTTTTCACCAATGCCGCAGTATGGCCAAAGAAATCCAAATAACCTAGAAGTTGCAACATGTTTGCGTATTTTCATGTATGTTCACATTTATGGATGGTCCTTATATTTTCTTCCTAGTTCGAGGTATTCAAGGTTATGAAACCCATGGATTCCCTACCGCACTTCACATCATCTAGTGCATGTAACTGCGATTCTTCCCACGCTGAGGCACATTTCCAGCCAAATCTTCAAATTTCCACTTCATTTCCTGGGATGTACCGGGCAAGACCACACGGGCCAAGGGGGACATGCGGTGAAGGTGTTGATGAGTCGGTGATTGGTGGTTACAGCCATGCGATATCTGCAGTTTAGTGATGTTGGCTCCGGGTAAGTATATAATTATATAATGGTTTACTTATGTTTACTTTACCCAATCCCAATGGATAAAGCGGCTAAAGGTAGACCAAGGAGCACACTTCCAGCCAGTCACTGGGCGGTGTGATCGCTTAGCTGGGTTTAGCGTCACCATATGAAGGTCATCGTGTAGGTATATCACCCAACATATCCCATTGAAATATGGTCTCCATGGTCATTATCTTTCCTCAAAATAATCTCCCCATCATGTCGTTAAAACTGACCAATAAAAGCCATTAAAAACAAATTGAAACCGCTAAAAAACCCTAAGAAAAACAATGAAAAACCATTTGAAACCATTAAAAAGTATAGCAACAATGAGTTAAAACCACTCAAAGCCCCCAGCATTTATTGCCTTTTCATCATTTTTCCCCCAGCCCAAAACGCTGACGCCACGCGAAGCGAGTCGCCACATCTAAATCGGTGTAAAAGCCGCCTTCCCTCGCCAGCACAGCGGCGCGGCACACGTCGCTGCGGTAGCTGCCCCTGGCATCGTTCATCATGGACTGATCATAGTACTTACCCTCTGGTTATTTAACATAGCCATGGAAAATGGCCCATTTATAGATGGTTTACCTATTAAAAATGGTGATTTTCCATGGCTATGTTAAATAACCAGATGGTAATAGTGAAAACATATATGAATATCTGGCATTCCATGTGGAATCTAACATGAATATGTCGTACTATTTTGGAATATACCCTCCGGTTATGACTAACATAGCCATGGAAAATCCCTTATAAATGGAGGTTTCTAGCTGGGAAAATCATCCATAAATGGGCCATTATCCATGGCTATGTTAAATAACCAGAGGGTAATAGTGAAAACATATATGAAGATATCATTGAATCTTAGGTTGAAGAGTTCACGATGGTTAATGCTTAATAACTAATTCAATAAATGTTTGGGCCCGTCCAATCCTGTTTGTTCATTTAAAAAACATCTAACTACATAGTATGTATCATAATGTATCCACCAGAAATCCGGGGGGCCCTCACGGTATCAAAGATTGTGACCGCTGTGACGACTCAGCCTGAAATACTTCACTACCCTTCCCTATTTGTAAACAGGATCTATGGAATCTATGGTGAGCTGATTCAATAAAACCACAAGTAACCAGCAACATGAATGGGTGATGTTGATGATTTTGGAGGGAAATGTCCGAACATGCTCTAAATATCAGGTCGGGTTCAAACGTCAACCGTTCAGTTGGGTGCCCTTGGGGCAGAATAACATATTCAGTCATATCAGCACCGCCAAATAGCCAATGAAAAGCAAGATATGCATGCATGCATGCATGCATGCATGTAATGTATGTAATGTATGTAATGTATGTAATGTATGTAATGTAATGTATGTAATGTATGTAATGTATGTAATGTATGTAAATGTAATGTATGTAATGTATGTAATGTATGTAATGTATGTAATGTATGTAATGTATGTAAATGTAATGTATAATGTATGTAATGTATGTAATGTATGTAATGTATATGTATAATGTATGTATGTATGTATAATGTATATGTAATGTATGTGTATGCATATGTAATGTAATGTATGTAATGTATGGAATGCATCCATGCATGTAATGTATGTAATGTATGAAATGCATGTAATGTATGTAATGTATGAAATGTATGAAATGCATGCATGTATGTAATGTATGAAATGCATGTAATGTATGTAATGCATGTAATGCATGTAATGCATGTAATGCATGTAATGCATGTAATGCATGTAATGCATGTAATGCATGTAATGCATGTAATGCATGTAATGTATGTAATGTATGTAAATGTATGTAATGTATGTATGGTATGTAATGTATGTAATGTATGTAATGTATGTAATGTATGTAATGTATGTAATGTATGTATGTATGTATGTATGTATGTATGTATGCATGCATGCATGCATGTATGTATGTATGTATATACGTACACTGCAACTACCGGCAACAAAGCATATTCTAAAGGATTAATCGTCAACAAATGATGTGACATGTCACTGGGTTTTCCCCTCAACTGGGCATAATATCACCTTGCAGTCGTGTCCTACATGGCCAGTGTTCTACATGGCCAGTCTGAAATCTCGCCACGCTGAGACCTGTACAAACACACGGAAATTCCGCAGAATGTTGATGATGTTGTCCAACCAGCTATTGAAAATGGCCATAGAAATAGTGGATTTACCCATACAAAATAGTGATTTACCTATTTAAAATAGTGATTTCCCATTAAAAATAGCGATTTACCGATTAAAAATAGTGATTTTCCATGCAACGTGTCCAACCAGTATGTCATTTCGCACCAGGAATCCATGTCGCGTGCTGTCTTTCAGCGCCTCTGTTCTTGCGAGAAGAAATGGGGCAGCTCGGTGTCATTGAAGTGTTGCAACAAATAACCTCAGTCCATGGTTTGGACCATCGACAAGATATTGCCATTGGCACATTCTGGTGCAGGTCTCCACGATATTTTCATCAGATCCCCATCCATTCCTGGTGTATTTCTTATATATATATACACATAGATACATATATAATATATCATATACATATATATATATATATATGTCCAAAATATCCCCATGATCTCCCCATTGACTTTGACGATAATTCCAAGCGCTTGCAACGCCTTTTTGCCGTGGCCGAGGAGCGCTTGCAATCCTCGTCCCCGAACCAGCGCACCCGCACCCACGGATTGAGAGCCATCCTGACGTCCACGGCATCAACAGGGTTTTGAACACGACTCCTGTAGCAACCAAGATGTGGATTTCAATGGATTTCAATGGATTTTGATGGATTTCAATGGATTTCAATGGAATTTAATGGATTTCAATGGATTTTCATGGATTTCAATCAGCAAACTGTGAATCTGAAAAGATCCGCATCCGATTTTGGGCGATTTGTTCGCATCTCACGTTGAACACCAACATGATCCGTGAGGATTTGACCCGGTCACATCCTCGGTCGCCACAAGAAACTTTTTTTTATACAGCGCCGTCCCCTTTTGGTAAAAATAGAGGCCGGTTTGGTATGTCATCTATACATTGCCAATCTTAGATACCCTGCCAAAAAAAAAAAAATCTTTGCTGGTGAACGTAGATATTCCCATTAATACCAAAAGACTAGTTAGGATTAGTTTGTATCCATGTAAGATTGACCTATAGTATATATCTATCATCATTGACCTTTTCAAGTTTTCTCTTGGGGTTTCTTCAAGGCCCTCAACCTTTTCAGCTAAATTTTCATCAACCAATGGGAAAATCGTCCCTCAAAGCAATTCTAAAAAATCATCCATGACGGATCCGGCTGGTGCTGGTAGAAAAATGCTAACATGACTGGGGTTTTTGTTGATGGGATCCATGTCACCATATATAGCATACATTGATGGATCCATCATGGGTAATCCAATGAGAGTCTCAAGGAAGTTTGATTGTCATTTCAGGTGGCTTCACTCCCAGCTTTTGCAGGTGAACTCTCCGACTAGATGTGAAAACCCACAGTTTCTCAAGGAACATGACCTACAGCAAAAATTGTATTGGATTCATTGCCACTACCATGTTGTGTATACATATGGAATTATGGATAATTACCTTCTGGTTATGTCAAAATAGCTATTGAAAATTGCTATTTATAGTGGATTTACCCATTAAAAATGGTGATTTTCCATAGTTACCTTAGTTTACCAGAGGGTATATGGTGATTCAGTGCAAGGTGGCGCTCCCTAGGTTCATAACCAGCTTGTAGCTGGGAGGCACCACCTAAACTACCCCTGGTTGATGGTCAATTTACTGAGAAATATCGAGAATTATGGGCATTTTTCTATATCTGGTTGGTGGTTTCAACCCCTCTGAAAAATATTGGTCAGTTGGGATCATTATTCCCAATATATGGAAAAATAAAAAATGTTCCAAACCACCAACCAAATATTGTATTGCCAAAGATTGTGTTGGATATGGCTCTGATACACCATACTGACTCTAGTCTGATATTCATGGTTCTTCATGATTCTTCCCTATGTTAAATGAAAACCCAGCCAGTCGTGCCCGGCACGGTTGCTTTCCAGGCACGTGTGTCGCACATTGCGCTGCACAGCTAATGGTAAGTTGGCCATCAAGCCGTCCTGGAACGGATAACGCAGCGAAATCCACCCGACAAAAATGGAGGTTGATAGCCGTGAAAGAATTCACCGGCCAACACACATCAACATGACCTGGTGGTATACGGTATACCACCGACCTGGTTGGTGGTATACGATATACCACCAGGTCATGTTGATGTGTGTTGGCCGGTGAATTCCTTCACGGCCTGCTATCAACCTCCTAATACCCACCCCTCTGCAAAATGTGAAAGCCAGTTGGGATGATGAAATTCCCAATCTATGGAACATAAAAAATGTTCCAAACCACCAACCAGTTACATAACATTACAGTAATCAACCCAAAATTGAAGGTGCAAGCAACAACAACCAACAAAAGTGTACTAAACCAACAAAAATGTGGACTTACCAACAAACAACCTGGATATAAGCCCACATTCACGCCTTGGATCTTCGATATAGAACTACCCTGCAAAAACAAATTGATTTTTTGTTGGTTAGTTGTTTGTCCTATCGAAATTGTTCAATATTGTTTAACCATGAACTTAAACAATTCACTATTCGACTTACCAAACGGTGAATGGCCCAGTATACCAGTTACCACCAGGTATTAAATGATACCATAATGTTGTTTAAACAGTAGTGCCAAAAGCTGGGTGAACTGGTACTTCACTGGTGAAAAATCACTAGTTTTGCCTGGATACTAGTTGTGCATGACAGGAATTGTGACTGGTGGATATACCACGCGCCAATTTGGATGCATTGCATGCATGGCCTCTTTTTTTCCCCAGAACAATTGCCTCTTTTGCGATGTATCAAAGCTGAGTCACGTCACCTCCCAGGTTTTAATTTTAGGACCCTTTTGTTCCATGGCCCATAGGATCCATGTATGCTACTATATATGGTGACATGGATCCCATCAATATACCCCAATCATGTTACCAGTAGCATATATATCAGCACCATGGACCCTTTTGTTCCATGGGATTTCATGAAAAATCAGACCAATGCGACTGCCACTGGAACAATTTTGAACAAATGCAGCAGGATGCGGCAGGACTTGCCAGCCGAAAAATCCCAGTAAATCACTTTTTGTTTGTTGGTGAAATCCCATAATAAGTGTGATTTAACCAACAATAATTGTGATTTACTGGGATTTAACCAACAAAACTGCCAGTTCTGCCAGTTCTATGAACTATGCCATAATCGACAAACCCCACTTTTTTGGTACCCTGACATACCCTGACAGCCGGTGATGTAGCTCTGCAGCTTGGATGCAAACAGACATTACGTTTCTGCAGCTAATTATGGCCCTATCACCACAAGACGGTTGCGGTTGGCCCAATTGGCGTCAAAAAAACGCATCTAACCGTAATTGGATTTCGAAAGAAGTAGAGACTACATTTCAAACCACATACATACATACATATATATATATATAAACTAATGATTACAATTATACATATATAGATTTAGTATGATTGTATCTACTAATGGTTAGGGATACTAACCATATACAAATATACAAGCCATCTAGATTGGATTCCAAATTAGTAGAGATTTTGCAGCAAAATCCAATGATCCATCCCCCACCTTGGATGTGAGAATCAGCTGCTGCGGGATCCTACGCTACGCGAGCTACGCGCAGCTGAGTGGATGGGCATGGCCTGGAGCTTTCCATAGTCATGGGGGGTACCACCTGAAAATCCTATGGAAATCCCATGAAAATCCCGTGAAAATCCCATAGATCAATGGAAAATCCCATGAAAATCCGAAACTGGATGATTTGGGGGTACCCCCCATCATTTCACCACCTCTCTCTATAAAAAAAGTGGCGTGATCCTCAAGGGAAAATGAATCTTGTGGTAACATCAATGTGGTAAACCATGGTAAGCCCAACAATAAACAATCCGGAATATGACCATAGATGGTTGGTATAAACCATCTCCAAATGGTAAGTTTATTATGGTTTATTACGAACCTTACCACATGATATATACTTCTATGCCCAGTGCAGTTCACAGTTTCTGTCGTTGAAATTTACCAATTTCCCAGCCTACATTGTGCCACCCCCCAGTTATAAGTTGGTTTATGCACCCCATTAACTTATAGTTATAATTATCATAAATCATAGTGAAATTAGAGTTATAAACGCACTTTTCTATCATAAATCAGCTATACATCCCATAGCAGTAAATAAACATCACCATGAAACTCAAGGTGAACATCACCAAAAAATATAGGATAAATATGTTCCCAAAAAAAAACAAAGTTCTGTGGCTAGAAAATCACAATTTTCCCCCGATTTCTCCTGATTTTCCTATGATCTCCCTATCTGCTTGGTGGTATACATAAACAAATCATGTTTCAAACCACCAACCAGTTTACTAGTGGGTTTACAACATGATTTTCCCCCGATTTTCCTATGAAATCACCATTTTCCCTTGATTTTCCCCTGATTTTCCCCTGGTTTTCCTATGACTTTCCTATGGTTTTTTCCAAAAACCACCGACCTCTTCTCCGGGGCTCCTGGTTTCTTTGGCTTTCGCCCGCACCCGCGCTAAGGTCACGGAAAAGCGCCACGCCGGAGGGCCCGCAATGGGTTCCTGGCGGGGAGGGCGCCCCTTTTTTTGTGGAAAACCATGGTGTAATGACGGTCAATATATGTACCTGGTTGGTGGTTTTAACATGTTTTAACCATCTTGAAAAATATGAAAGTCAATGGGAAGGATTATCCCATGTATTATGGAAAATAAAAAATGTTCCAAACCACCAACCAGTTAATATATGGTAAACATATAGAAAATACCAGGCTTATATATGCAGAAATAGTGTTTAACAATGTTTAACATGATCCAAAAAGTGGTTTAATGATACTTAAAAATTTGCTTACAGATTAATATTTTTTTTATATGCAGGAAAAGTTATCATCCCGTCACTGGATTACAACCAAGAAAAATAACTGACTTCTGACTGGTAGAGGGCCTCTACTGTGTACTAGCTTTATTAAGGTCTAATATAGCTTTAATTTTTCATGATGGCTACATAAATATAGAGCTAAACATTTAAGTTGAATATTGAATTGTTTGGCCACCCTCACTGTTTACCCTCTGGTAATCAATTTGTCGTGGACAATGGCGATGGAAATAATTGGGAAATCATCTACTCATGCGTCATGTTCCATAGCTATGTTGAATCACCAGAGTGAGTGATTTGTAATCCCAAAATCCATCAAAATCCTACCCTCTGGCAATCAGTCACTTGACAGTAAAAAGTGCTCACGACGTTTATCCATTTCTCTAGGAATCGTTACACGAAGACTGGAGGGCAACAAAGACCCAACAAAACCCTGGCAGATTGAGTGGATCTGCTCATTTTGGGGTCTCAAAAAAACGGGGGTAGTATATAATATGTTTTATATGTTTATATATGTTTGTATAATATATTTAATAAGTATATAATAAATTCAATAAGTTGTCCTGCTAGGGGGAAAGCATAAGTTATGAGCTCAGCGAAATGAGTGGATCGGCCACTTACATCCACTCCATCGAGCGAGTTCTTGCGTCATCCCAGAGAGGAGACTCGGAGAATTAGCAGAAACTGCTGGACATGGAATACTGAGTGTTTCAATGGATTGGTTTAAGGGGAAATCTTAACCGGTTTAAGCCCCATAGATCTTCATGGGAAAATCGATGGTTTCCGGTTAAAATTTTCCCAACAAAACCAATCCAATGAGTGTTGGATCTATCTTTCTCACCGTATTTGGCCCGGCAAATACCCTTTTCCACCGTTGATCACCAGAGACCACGTCTCCATATTCTGCTGCTTCTGCAGGATGTTTCTCCCCTTTGTTTTCGTGTCTAACTTGAATCTCTTGGTTAATTGGGACTTGATAGAATATGAATATGTTAAATAAATATATCTTTATATATCTACATATAACATATATATATATATATATATATGTATAGTATGCATATATAATATATATATAATATATAATATATAATATATATATATATACATGTATAAATATATATATATTATAATTCTTCATTGTTGGAGGGTTGTCTTCGGGCTTGAGATCTCTACAAACCTCTCTACAGCTCAAAAAACCCGTCCCTTCTCTCTCTGAATCTCCGGCGCTCAGTTGGTGGTTTGAACCATCTATTTCTATGGGCCATCTATACCATGGCTATGTTAGTCATAACCAGAGGGTTTTTCTAAACATTCTACAACTATATAACAATTATATAGCTAGTTGGTGGTATACCTACCCCTCTGAAAAATATGAGTCAGTTGGGATGATGACATTCCCAACTGAATGGAACAATTAAAAAATGTTCCAAACCACGAACCAGATTGAATCTAAACCAGACAGTGTCTGTGTAGGGCTTGTCTGAAAGTAGGGGTACCTCAAGATCCCTTGGGTTTTTATCATCCCTGGTGGTTTTAACTAACCATCTTGAAAATGATGGAGTTCGTCAATGGGAAGGATGACATCCCATATATGAAATGGGGAAAAAAAAAACATCTTTGAAACCACCAACCAGATCATCCTCATCATCAAAGCGTGCCAATTCGGGGGAAACCACTATACAGTACCGCTGCGAGTGACGCTGTCGAAGTTTACCAGGAAAATGCCTGAAGTGCAAAAGTGGTAGGCCGGTGTTCTGGAAAAATTGTGGCCGGTGTGGCATAGAATTTGAATGAATTTGAATGAATTTGACATGATTCAGCTGTTTGCAAGCTTATTCTTAGATACAGTACTGGTAAGCAAGTGTGGAAATGGAAAATTCACTATCTATAGATGATTGTCCGCTATAAACCTCCATTGGCATGGGATTTCCCATTGCCAAATGCAAATGCTTTGCTTGGCATTCTTTTCTCCATAGCTAAATTCAGCTACCAAGATCTTTCCACCTGCTTGTTGCAATCGACTTAACCGCAAATGGCATTGGACGTATCCCAGCCGTGTTCAATCAATCACAAGGTGGTACCTTGTTACCCCAAGGTTATAAGTTGGTTTCTAACCCCCTGACCATCCCTGAACTATATGCCTCTACATTGCACTAACCCTACTTAAGTCCTACTTGTAAACCAACGTAGCAGAAAGTCATAGAAAGTCACGTTTGGGCACCACAAAGTTTGTCGCAACCTACGTTCATTCTGCATTCATTGCCACGGTGGATGTCCGAAGGGAAGTGGCTCCGCAGGTTTGAATCATTGACGGTTCACCGGTGAACATCTTCGACAGTCTACAAAAATTAGGATGTGTCTTTCCACTCATCTCATCCGATATCATCCGATATCTACGAGGATTGGTGTATATATACCTATCCCTCTGAAAAATGATGGAGTGAAAGTCAGATTGGATCATCATCCCAGCTATTGGGGAAAATAATCCAGCCATGTTCCAGTCACCCAGTCACCACCAACCAGTCTACCATTCACTAGTCAGTTAAAAGTAATTACACTTCATTAAATTAACTCAGCATTTTAGATGCTCAAACTCCCAATGTTTGTAGGCCCAGCTTTATCCCCACCGCCGGCTTCTGTATGGTGAACGATTCCCCACCAGTCAGCTTTTAAGGGGTGGAGACTCTCCACTAAGTCTACCAAGTTTACGATATCCTGGTGATGTGGGCTAGAATTTAGCCGCTCTTCAAACTCATTTTGAAAGACAGAATGTGAAACAGCCAACAGAAATAGAGGTTAATTCCCAGTTTACGCTGTTTACATCCATTTTTGTTCCGGAAATTTCAGTAGGGTTGCTCCCAGTGCCCCTTTTTTTCTTGGGGTGAGGGGGGCAACTTGGGCCAATCACCAAAAAGACATCAAGATCCCTGTTGTACCAGTCATACGCCCATACATAGCCAATCTTGGATACATGTCAGCACCCTGCAAAACATAGCTGCTCCGGGTCGATCCCCAATTAAACACACATTGTGAAGTTGCATGAAACAAGCCATCACACCTTTACCCAGGTTTTTACGTGTCTTGGATATAAGAATCGTAATCCAATTTATCCTGGTTTACCCTCTGGTAATCTAACATAACTATTGAACATGGCCATTTCTAGTTGATATACCCATGAAAAATGGTGAGTTTCCATAGTTATGTAAACGTTTACCAGAGGGTATCATTCAATATCCCTCAGCTTCGAGCAATCCTGAGGCCAGGGGACAAAGGCCCACGATTCCAAGCGTGACCAGTGCCAGCAGCAACGTCAACTCTCGAGGGCTCCTGGCGTTCCCAACATGGCGGAATTACCCACAGAGTGGTGCCCCCTACAATGTGGGGCCCCCAAGATAGCTAAGTTGGTTTATAACTCCAATAACTATGATTTATGGTACTTATAACTATAGTTAATGGGGTTTATAAACCAATTTATAACTGGGGGGCCCCACATTGTAGTTATAAGTTGGTTTATAACTGCCCTCAACTATAGATGTATGTATCATAAACCCGAAATTGGAGTGAACAGTTCACCAACTCAGCTATCCGGGGCACAAAAAATTGTAGTGAATATTTGTTTCAATACCCAGTTGGAAATTGTGTGTCCTGAAATACCCTCTGGTAAACTAACATAACTATTGAAAATCACCATTTTTTATGGGTAAATCAACTATAAATGGCCATTTTCAATAGCTATTTTGACATAACCAGAGGGTATCACCGGGGGTTCAAAACGGTTTACAAAAAACCCACCTCACCTCGCCATGTGAAGGATCGGCCGCAAAATTACCACGCCATGCGCGAGCTCGGCGCAGAGCCATCCGCAGAGCTCGGCGACCGGTTGGAGCTTAGTGGTTTCCTGATTTGGTGTTTTTCATGAGGTTTAGTATGGTTTAGTAAGTTTAGTATCATCTGGTGCCTTCATGATCTTTTTATGGTGGTGTCATTTGAGAATCAAACCTTCAGTTGCTATATATTAAACTATATCTACAGTTATGTTCATCTCAGCCAGCCAGGGACTGGAAATCATGTTCTTTCTATTTTTTCATGTTTCTCTTCATTTCATTCCTGTTATTCCTCTAGGTTCTACAGCAGCATTGCAAATGGCTGTAGATATGTTGGTTCATTGCAAGAGGCCGGTGAGCAGCGACATCCACCTGACGCAGCACTGACGCAGCACTGCGTTTCTTTCATGAAGTACCTGGATCCTCCGTAGTATCCGTAGATCCTCCCAAGAAATCTGAAAAATATATGGTTAATATATGGTTATTATATGGTTAATATATGCTTAATATATGGTTAATATATGGTTATTATATGGTTAATATATGGTTAATATATGATTGATATATGGTTAATATATGGTTAATATATTGTTACTATATGGTTAATATATGGTTAATATATGGTTAATGTATGGTTAATATATGGTTATTATATGGTTAATATATGGTTAATATATGGTTAATGTATGGTTAATATATGGTTATTATATGGTTAATATATGGTTATTATAAGGTTAATATATGTTTAATATATGGTTAATATATGGTTAATATATGGTTAATATATGGTTAATATATGGTTACTATATGGTTAATATATGGTTAATATATGGTTAATGTATGGTTAATATATGGTTATTATATGGTTAATATGTGGTTAATATATGCTTAATATATGGTTAATATATTGTTATTATATGGTTAATATATGGTTAATATATGGTTAATGTATGGTTAATATATGGTTAATATATGCTTAATATATGGTTAATATATGGTTAATATATGGTTATGGTTAATATATGGTTAATATATGGTTATTATATGGTTAATATATGGTTAATGTATGGTTAATATATGGTTAATATATGGTTAATATATGGTTAATGTATGGTTAATATATGGTTAATATATGGTTAATATATGGTTAATATATGGTTATGGTTAATATATGGTTAATATATGGTTATTATATGGTTAATATATGGTTAATATATGGTTAATATATGGTTAATATATGGTTATTATATGGTTAATATATGGTTAATATATGGTTAATATATGGTTAATCTATTGTTATTATATGGTTAATATATGGTTAATATATGGTTAATGTATGGTTAATATATGGTTATTATATGGTAAATATATGGTTAATATATGGTTAATGTATGGTTAATATATGGTTAATATATGGTTAATATTAATGGTTATTATATGGTTAATGATGGTTAACAATTACCATCTGGTTATGACTAACAGTTGGCCATGGAAAGGTCCACCCATGCTATTAATAGGTAAACCATCTATATCATCTATAAATGGGCCATGTTCCATGGCTATGTTAAATAACCAGAGGGTAAAAGTATTCGGATTATCGGATGGATTGGGTTCACTTTGATGTTGCCAAAAGCCTCCGTAAATTTGGAGGAACCTCCTACATGCGATGGCGGCGACACTCAAAAATCAGCACGAGATGCAACTTTCATGGATACAACAGATGCAACATCTAAGGTAGCTATGAATATGCATATATATATATATACTAGATGCAACGCCAACGACCAAGCAGCACATAAGAATTTGAGCTTCCTGATTCAAACTTCTTGAAACATTTGTCATTTCATTATCGGCCAAGGATACCGCTTCGAAATCACGCATGGTACTGGGGCTCGGCTCCGCATGAAAGTACAAAGTGGTGCCCCCTTAGATAAGTTTGTTAACCACCAGTAACTCAACAACTATTGATATGGATATTTGCCTACCATAGACCATAGTTATATAATAGACCAATTTAGTGATAGTTAAGGACAAAACATGGTAGGGACACTGACCATCCCTGACTCTGCAAGGTTTCCCTGCGTTCCACCCCTTCCACTGGGCACGCGAAAAACGCTATTCTCGAGGCCGGCTCTTCCCATAGCGACGCACGGCGCTGCAAGTGGTTGTTTTGTTGTTTGTCTGGCAAAGGACATCATCTGGACTGGAAAAAGGTTCCCAGAAAAATCCAGACCCCCGTCTTTAGTTCAGGTCAAGCTTGGATCTTCTAAGAATCTGGCCAAATGACTTACTGGTGCTTAGTAAGGAATGGATGGGAATGGGGGTTGCTGCATTATTCATAGTTATTGAGGATCATTCCCGAAAATTCCCTTCTAAGCACCAGTAAGATGATTCTAGGAATTCTTATAGCGAAGGTGAGGCCGTGGTCGCAACGCTGTAGATGTGCCATTCGTCTCTTTTGCTTTTTGTAGACCCACCAGTCTTGTCGTCAACAGCTCGTTGCGGCAATGACCATCCCACAGTTCTCTGTTCTGATTGCCACCAGTTGCTCAGAATCCATACATTTATGGCCATTTATGAGTTATAACTGGTGGTTTGAATCCCTTTTCTGTAGGGACGAAGGATGACATGACTGCTTTGGATACCAGAGGTCCCCCCGTCAAAATGGCACCATGGTTCACAAAGGCAGGCACCTAGGTCTCAAGAAATCCCCTATGAAATCCATCTCCCGGAGTGAGCTATTAAGATCCCCCAACCTAAATGGTTGTGAGGTTAATAAAACCACGCATATTCCATGCATATACATTAACATTCTATTGTGTATGTATATATATATATCTATCTATCTATCTAACTATCTATCTATCTATATATATATATATATGTGTAATTATATCCAGTTATATCCTCATATTCCATTCAAACACATGGGGATGGTATGATTCATGAGTGGACATACCACATTGCTATTGGAGCCTCCGAAACTACCTGCTGGTACCGATTTCTGGTTGCCTGCGCCCTGGAATACCAATCACCACAAGCATATCAGCATATATCAGCTACATCTCTGGAACTATGTTTTGACATTCCCATATCATTTCCAAGAAAACACCAGGAAAGAAATCTCTGCACCTATTGAAAATTCCCAAGGATCCACGAACGAAACATCAACTTTTCTGGCACCGGCACCTGAAAACCTGGTCGATCCCAGAAACTAGCGCCAGTTCTGTTGGTTTATGGACCTCTTTTAGATTACAATTGACCTACCAGTAGTTTGTTTTAATCAACTTCGCCATCATAAATCGCCTCTCAATCACCAATGTTTCTTGGTTGAATCCACTTCAATACCTGCTGCGTGAGAAGTCTGAGAAGTCAGAGGGGGGGGGTGGACCTTACAGCGCACGGCCAAAGGGTCCTGCGCAATGTCTCAACGTCGCTCCATCTCTCTCTCTCTCTCTCTCTCTCTCTCTCTCTCTACCGCCATCCCGGAGGTTCAGCGTCAGGCTGAGGAATATCTATATCTAACAATTACCCTCTGGTTATGACTAACAGTTTGCCATGGAAAGATCCACCCATGCTATTAATAGATCTATTTCTATGGGCCATCTATACCATGGCTATCTGATATCTTAAAGAACCAGAGGGTATGTAAACATTCTACAACTATATAGCAACTATATAAGTGGTTGGTGGTTGACCTACCCCTCTGAAAAATATGAAAGTCAGTTGGGATGATGACATTCCCAATATATGGGAAAATAAAATTCATGTTCCAAACCACCAACCAGATAAACATATGCTTGAACTTGTACCCTCTGGTTATTTAACATAGCCAGTGTATAGATGGCCCTAATCGAAATAGATGATTTTCCCAGCTAGAAACCTCCATGTATAAGGGCTTTTCCATGGTTATGTTAAATAACCAGAGGGTATATTCCAAAGTAGTACGACATATTCATCTAAGAATGCCAGATATTTGTTTTCACTATTACCATCTGGTTATGACTAACATAGCCATGGAAAGATCCACCATTTTTCATGTTCTTCCAACTAGGGGTGCGGCTGCGTGCCCTGATGCAACGATTATCAAGTCCTTGGGCGCGTCGTAGGGAATAGCACCGTTTGCCGCACCTGTGGAGCCTGGGCAAATGGACATGCGGACAGGGAAACCATGGGAAAAACGGAAAACCCATGGGGAAAATGGTGATTTGTCATCGGAAAACCATCGGAAAATCATGGCAGTTATACGGAAAATCATATTTCTATGGGATAAAACACGTTCTGTAAATGGGGTTTTCTTACTCAAATAACCGGTATAACTCGGGCCATACCTCCAAAGTTACGACATCCAGATTTGCGGAGAGATCTTGTTTCGATCCCAAAAAAAAGCTAGGCCGTGGTGCTGGAAGATTTGTCAATACGACATATATACATGTATACATACATATATATATATATATATATATACGCGCAACGCCTGGGTTCTGCCCAGGCGTTGCAGCGTATATATTTACAATTCACAAACAAATGATATTGCAAATTACAGTAATTCCTATGGGAAAAAAAACAAAGGTATTAGGGACTATTAAACAAACAAGGTCAAAACACCCGAAATTCCTATGGGAAAAACAAAAACAGCATAATATCTGAAATTTCTATGAGAAAAACAGAAAAGGTACTAGGAAATTTTAAACTCTCAAATCGTGAAACTTAACATTCAATTAGGAAGATCAACAAAGATATTAGGGAATGTTAAACTCCCAACGCCATTAAACCTTAAATTCCTATGGGAAAAACAGCAAAGGTACTAGGGACTATTTAAAAAAAAGGGTCAAAACACCCGAAATTCCTATGGGAAAAACAAAAACGGTATTAGGGAATATTAAACTCCAACCCCCGTTAAACTTTACAGTACATTCAATTGGGAAGATCAACAAAGATATTAGGGAATATTAAAACTCCCACCCCCGTTAAACTTCTA